TTACTTGCTTTAATAACATTTACAGAGCATCAGATTATAAGAAAGCGCAAAAAAAATCTTCGTGTGCTCTAATACATCGACTTCACGTCTTGAGTAAAACTAAATAAAAAATCTATATCTCTTTTTTTTTCTAAATAAATATTCAGAGAAAAGAGTTGTAAAGAAGAAGACTATGTGTGATGCCCACACGCTGTAGTTCGCTTTATTTTTGCAAAGTTATTAATCGCACAAACAGAACAGAAGAGAAGAAAACTTAAAAACTTTCGTGATGTCATGAGCGATGCTCCATCCCGCTCGCTCATTTTTATTTTATTTTAATATTTTGTCTTCTTCTTTTTCATCTGACTGATTTAATTTCATGTCTTTTTTATTGAGCAGCAGCAACATTTATTGGAAGAAATACTTTTTTTATGTTTCATTTATTTTCTCATTTTGCACATATAGTTATGAAATTTTGGTGTCTCATACTTTTCGTGGCCTTTTGGCTTTAATTTCAATAAAAATTTATTAACGTGTGCCATTGTGCCTGGGTTTAGAAGCCAGAAAACTTCTATATTTGGTCATATGTGAAGGAGATCCAGTGACTCTTTATATAATCCTCAATTCGACAATTTTTGTGAGTTTATATATATATATATGGAAGCATTAAGTATTCTTAGTTTCTCACTTCTATATGGTGCCCAAGAGTAGAAACTGCGGTATTATTGAAATTGAAATATAAAAGGAACTTTTCTTTCATACCTTGCCACAATGTTAACAATCATAAAGCAATCGAGTGCTTATTTGCCTTCACTTTGGTATGCATTCGTTGATATCATTTTACTGACTGACTATTGGCTTAGTATCACACATACATAGAGCCTTTGCACTAATCCTTGTCATATCGACAACATTTTATGAACGGATTATGAGATTAGTTTCTGATGGGAATCTAGTCTATGGACACAAATTTCATCGCTTAGCAACTCAAACACTTTTTAGGGGTTTATCTTCAAATATTGCTAGTAATCAGTGTTCAGGACATCGAATGCGCCTCATGCAGCCTTTTTTATCCACAACTCGATAAAAATTTGCACAATTCAGTTGGGGTTATTGATGAAATGAAAGGAAAAAGACGCAAACAAAAAAGTACAATAAGAGACGTAGAAGACCACTTCCGGCCACTTCCATTTCAATTGAGGGATGGAATGGTAAGAGACTCTACTCAGTATGTAGGAGTGCGGTATTTATGAAGTATTCTTCCTTTTCATTTATTCAACTTCATACCAAACTTGTCTTTAGCATCATCTATGTCATCATTGATGAACAATTGTGGACAGAATAAGAAGCTTCTTCCATTCATTTCAAATATAGAATGTACACAAAGAATCAGTAAGAGATCCCAAAAAATATAAAAAGTAATGAAAGCATCGAGCACGTTTTTTTGTGGACGAATTCTCTAACTAGAGCAGATTTTATACTTTTTGTGTAAAAGTAAGTAAGAAAGAATACATAAATGTCTACGCTCTGTTTGCTCAATTCTTACAACCACTGAACCTTGAGAATTCAGTTTTGAGAAATAAAAGACCATCGTCGATATGCGATTTTCATTTAATTTCGTTCTGAAACTTTTCCTTCTTCTGTTTCTCTTTGCTATGTTCTCAACGGATTCTTATGCTTTTGTGAATTTTTTTTATGTATTTCAAAAGTTTCTTTCTTCTTTGGGCAATTTTTAAAGGAATATGGACATTGAATATTGGATGTGCAAAATAAATTTTATGTTCTTTTGCTGAAAACTGGTTTGTGTGACTAAGCTATTGGCCTTATATGTCGAGATGTATCTGATTTTGGTAACAAGTTATACAGAATTAGGTAAGAATATCCAAAAACTTACGTGAAGATTGAATGCAAAATTTATAAGATGAGTTTTGAGTTTGAATGACCAAAATTACAGCCTGTATCTGATTTCTTGACAGTAATAATCTTGAATTCTTACAAAAACTTCATTAAAATTCACTTCCTGACTATTGTATTAAAAAATCTAGTTTAATTCAAAATGTTTACTCTGTTTTTAAATCAAATTTTTGCCAAATTTCAAGTCACGTGAACAGAAAATTAAATAATTCGGATTGAAAATCTGCTGTATCATAAAGTCTTAAAATGTCATCAAAAATCCATCTGTAGAATCACACTTGCGCTTTTTCTGTTAATGAATTTCAAATAGCAATGAGCAATGACAAACTTAAAGTGTATATGACGAGATGACTAAGATGCTTTCAACAAAGTTTGCGAAGGAAAATAAAGTTTGTATTCATTGATATAGAGCACGAATTAAAATAAATAATTGATTTGAAATAGACGAAAAATTGAAATTGATTTTGAATAAAAAACAAAAATTTTAATTCATCATGAAAATTCAGAAATGAGAAAATCGACAGCAACATGAAGAGGAAGTATAATTTTTATTCCTCAATAAATTTTCTTTCTAGTCAAAAAAAAATTGTCGTTTATCTCATAAAATAAATGAAAGAAGAAGGAAGGCGATTGAGTGAATAAAAACAAAAACACAAATAATTTAAGTATATATCGTCAATATGATGACTCATAAATTTAAAAAAATTATAGCAATTATGTGAATCGCAATTGCAGCTACCATATGGTACGAAGACTAAACCATTTAATATATCACAAAATCATGTGCACAAATGAGAATGAAAAATCCTTTCCGTGAATGTGTGATAACAAAGAAAATTCTAACAGAATGATTTTTTCCTCATCTTCACGTCCAATATGTGTCTAATATAATCTCCACAAAAGTCATTATATCCAAAAAAAAATTATTGTATACAATATACACAATATCGTCTCACATTCAAAGATATTTATAAATTTTTTTTTCTTCTGTCTGAATATGTAACACAAAATTGTGTATATTTTTATTAAAGCGCGATGAATGAGTGTATGAGTTTAGTTTTTTTTTCGACAACATTTCGTAATTTTTTTTTCTTCTTTTGAGAAAAAAGAAACTTATATTTAATGTAGGTAGATAGAGACTGCTCTTTTTTTCTTACTTATAAAAATGCGGTTTTTATAAGCAAAAGAAGCAATATACAAAAAAGATTACAAATGAAGAAAAATAAAGTCTTGCTCCGTTCCGTTCGTGTCATTCTCCACCAAAAGAAGGAAAAAAAAAATCATGTTTTTCACGATACTTTTTAAGTTCTTTTTCAGGGATTTAGAATGATTAATTGAGATATTATTTTGAGCAAATTTTTTGTCTTGTGCATAAAAAGTTCTTTTGAGGATGGTTTAATTTGTTGACGAAAATTGAGAACTTTATGGTTTTTGTGGGATGCAAATATAGCTTTTCAATATCATTCCGAGAAAATTCTATTTTTATAAACTTTAAAATCTTTCACTAATTCACATTTTGAAATTAATTTCTAACGGTTAATTATAATTTGAATTTTTGTAAAACATTTGTAGTGCTTTTAAGAAGAATTTCTAGGGATTTGAACAAAAAAACTTTTGTATGCTTTTGAATTTAAGAAATTTTGAAACTGTTGTATGGTTTTCAATAAGAATTTTAAACATTTTCCGTTTAAAATCATTCAATATTGACACTTCTAAATTCCATTGAAAAGCCATCAACTAATAAAAATCCATTAATCATCACATACAACTGCGTACATAAATAAAATTAATTTGTCCACAACAAAATGACTCAATTTCGTCACACACAGAACTTTTATCACAAAAAATAATTTTTTCGATTACAATTCTCATATCAATATATTCAATCCCTGATTTCTTTTTTTTTTTTTGTTGATGATTTTTTTCGTATGATAAGTTCCTTTTATCGATTTCTTCAAAAGTCATTTTTATTAGCGCGAACAGAATTGAATAAATTGTAAGGGTACGAATTAGGGAGGCGCAATTATTTTTCTACGTTCTGTTATCAGCGAAAAAAAAATGATAAATCAAAAAAATGTATTTTTGTTATGCGATATCACTCGCTGCATTCTCTTCTTTTTTCCTATGTGATATTTCGATATCACATTTTAAAAATCCTTTAATACCATAAGAAATGGAAGTAATTAACTTTCAGCATGTTCAAGTCTAATTCTTCTTCTTAATATATCTTTATTTTGTCTTAAATGTGTTTATACAACAAGAGACACGTATCGTGAATTTTTCTCTCCTTCACTTTTTTTTTGTATTTTGGTAGAATAAATAAATTTTATCGATCCGCATATTTTTTCTGCATATATTACAATATATTCTTTTTTTTCTCTCTCTCTTTTTCTCCTTCTTTTAAAATCATTTTTGATATATCAAAAAATCACATCACGCAATTCTTATTATTACACAAATTGATAGTTGATTTTAAGTTTTTAAAAAATATATTTTCACTCCCGTATGCCGTCAAAAAAAAAAATTTTATATTAGAAATTAGATCAAATAACATGCGGAATAGGAGAAGAAAACCGTCTTGGAACTTACATGAGTAGAACACTTAAACACACTGACTGACAAGAGTCATATACACAATACATCTGACGATATTCTCTCACTCTCGCATCATTGCGATTTTTTGTAGAGTCTGTCTTTTTCTTAATGCAAAAATTTGTAGACATTTACTTCTCTACTGATGCAATAGTTTGACAACGCCCTTTCCAAAGTTTATGGATGTTACTTTTTCATTGGCTTGTTTCCTTTACGTGAGATCTATTCTCGAACTTTTCTTACTCATTTTGTCAGAGCATTATGAATTTTGTTTATATTTTGACTCATTATTTGAGAGTGTCATTTTATGACTGTATCAGATTTCATTACTTTGATCTATTTTTACTTTAAATTCTATACAATGATGCATGTTTTATAATGAAAAAGTCGTTAAATTAGTTTCTTAGCTTAGTTGAATGCCTTCGAAATTATTTAAATCTTTAAACCCGTTAAAAATTTGAAGCTAGCAAATCCGTTAAAAAGTCAAATCCCAAAAATACGGTAAAAATTGAAGATTAAATTTCAAATTTCATTCCATAAACAAAATGTACTACAACCATCTATCAAAAGTAGCTGTTCTATACACTCTCCTTTATAGACGAATTTTTATTTATTTGTAAACAATACAATAAAATTAAAATTTGACAATAAAAAAATGAACTCCTTTATATTTTCCTGCGTTTCTTTCCGTAATCGATTTTATCAAATGATAAGGCATTGTTTGTTTGGCTCTTGTTCTTTGGATTAAACTTCGCCTTTGGTGTAAAATGCTTCCTCTTTTTTGTCACGATGCCTACAATATTTTTAAGTGCTTTCGGCACAATATAATCTGGAACTTCTGATAAATGCTCTTGACCTCTGATGATGTTTAATGGCGCGTCATGTCTTATAACTTGCATTTCTCTTGGACAGTTCTCGAAGAATGTCTTGAGCTTCTCAGAATTGCAAATTTCTTTCTTGATTTCCTTCAATCTTGCTTCCTTAATTGCATTTTTCGTGACTGCAAACCAAGCATCATTTGCTCGATATTTAAATGGTTCCACATCCTCTAACTTAAATTCATGTCTTCTAATAATCTGTGAATTACCATTTGTATAACTTGCTGCCAAATGTTCTTCAACAGCTTCCATCATATTCTGTTCCTTACATGACACAAACGACAGGACATTTCCTTCATTATTTCCTCGTGCTGTTCTGCCTGCTCTATGAATGTATGAATTCACGTCCAATGGAAAGTCAAAATTGATGACATTTGAGACACAACGAAAATCAATGCCTCTAGAAACTCCATAATCAGAATCATCCTTAACTTTAGACTTTGCTGATTCTCCAGGCTTAACTAAAGTCTTCTCATCTGATGCTATAATTATGTCGTATGCTCCTCTATTGTACTCGTTTACTGCATGACATCTTGCATTTGCTGGAAGTTCTGAATTCAGGACAAGTGCTCGAATTTTAAATTGATCTAAGAAGAGTTTTAGTCTAAAAAGTAAAGTTTAACAATTTATTAATTGCTGTTCTATGGATATTACGTAGCATTTACTGTAGAAACAGAATCAGAGAGAAGATTAGAGTCTAGTCATCTGACAATCTTGTCAAGAACATTTTTCAACATTCTCGACATCGTCTCATTAATAAATAAAGTTTGTCATCATAGGAAATTAGCGAGTGTTTTGTATTTTCCCGAAAAGCAAAATAACGAATAACCGTAATTAGGAATATTTTCAAAAAATCGATTTTATATCTATATTAGCATTCTTTATCATTTATAAAACCTAGATATGTTTTAAAATGCAATTTAAATCAATTTTGGTTTGGATCATAGCAAGTTATTTTCAAAAAATATCGATTTTATATCTATATTAGCATTCTTTATCATTTTTAAAACCTAGATATGTTTTAAAATGCAATTTAAAGCATTTTTGGTTTTGATCATAGCAAGCTTTTTTCAAAAAAATATCGATTTTATATTCATATTAGCATTATTTATCATTTATAAAACCTAGATATGTTTTAAAATGCAATTTAAAGCATTTTTGGTTTCGATCATAGTAGGCTATTTTCAAAAAAATATCGATTTTATATCTATATTAGCATTCTTTATCATTTATAAAATCTAGATATGTTTTAAAATGCAATTTAAAGCACTTTTGGTTTCGATAATGGTAGGCTTTTTTCCAAAAAATATCGATTTTATATTCATATTAGCATTCTTTATCATTTATTAAACCCAGATATGTTTTAAAAGGCAATTTAAATCATTTTTGGTTTTGATCATAGCAAGCTATTTTCAAAAAAAAATCGATTTTATATCTATATTAGCATTCTTTATCATTTATAAATCTAGATATGTTTTAAAATGCAATTTAAAGCATTTTTGGTTTCGATCATAGTAGGCTATTTTCAAAAAAAAAATATCGATTTTATATTCATATTAGCATTCTTTATCATTTATTAAACCTAGATATGTTTTAAAATGCAATTTAAAGCATTTTTGGTTTTGATCATAGTAGGCTGTTTTCAAAAAAATTTCAATTTTATATCTATATTAGCATTCTTTATCATTTATAAAACCTAGATATGTTTTAAAATGCAATTTAAATCAATTTTGGTTTGGATCATAGCAAGCTATTTTCAAAAAAAATCGATTTTATATCTATATTAGCATTCTTAATCATTTATAAAACCTAGATATGTTTTAAAATGCAATTTAAAGCATTTTTGGTTTGAATCATAGTAGGCTATTTTCAAAAAAATATCAATTTTATATCTATATTAGCATTCTTTATCATTTATTAAACCTAGATATGTTTTAAAATGCAATTTAAAGCATTTTTGGTTTTGATCATAGTAGGCTATTTTCAAAAAATTATCAATTTTATATCTATATTAGCATTCTTTATCATTTTTAAAACCTAGATATGTTTTAAAATGCAATTTAAAGCATTTTTGGTTTCGATCATAGTAGGCTATTTTCAAAAAAATATCAATTTTATATCTATATTAGCATTTTTTATCATTTATAATACCTAGATATGTTTTGAAATGCAATTTAAAGCATTTTTGGTTTCGATCATAGTAGGCTATTTTCAAAAAAATATCAATTTTATATCTATATTAGCATTCTTTATCATTTATAATACCTAGATATGTTTTAAAATGCAATTTAAATCATTTTTGGTTTTGATCACTAATTTATATCTATATTAGCATTCTTTATCATTTATAAAACCTAGATATGTTTTAAAATGCAATTTAAATCATTTTTGGTTTTTATCACTAATTTATATCTATATTAGCATTCTTTATCATTTATAAAACCTAGATATGTTTTAAAATGCAATTTAAATCATTTTTGGTTTTGATCACTAATTTATATCTATATTAGCATTCTTTATCATTTATAAAACCTAGATATGTTTTAAAATGCAATTTTAAAGCATTTTTGGTTGAATTTTCAAAAAAAATTCAGTTTAATTATCCATTTTTTAATTCAACTTTTGTATTAAAACGAAAGACCTTTTAAAGATTTGATCTCAAATTATTTTTTGACACAAAGGAACTAGTTAGATTTAGCAGGAGAGTAAGACTTAATCTCTAGTGCCACACAGAAAACTCTACATTAGTCTCATGGAGATCAAGTCTACCGTCTCAGATTTACCATAATTTGTAAGGGCTCATCATTCTTCTTAGACAAACCTATAAACATTGAAGACCTAACGATTTATAAGCATACAAATTCAAGATTTAGTGATTTTTATAAGAGCGCCCCACGCTTTTAATTTGAGTCATAAAATTTTGTATCAAATTTGAATAATATTAATATTGAATAATATTAATTAAACTATAATGAATCATGTAAATGACTTTTGAACATTTCAAGTATAATATTTTAAACAAATCAAAATTATATGTCATTGACATTGGATTTTTTTCCCATAAAAAAAAAGTTTTACTTAAATTGTACTATAATTAGAGTAAAAAATCTATTTTTTGCGGTATTTGCTTCAGATAAAAAAATCAACTTTAAGCTACATTAATCAACCAAATTTTTATACAGACATCTTAATAATGCCAAATAAAGCAGGAACTTTGAATATTAAGTCCCTACATGCTTTATTTAATTAAATTTTTGTCATTTAAAATTGCAGGTGAAACATTTTTGATGCTTTTTTTAGAGCTTATTCCTTAAAACTTTAAGACTTTAACTTTGACTTTTTACTTAAATCTTTGCCACATGGGATGTTTTTTCTCACATTTTTCATCCAAATTCAATTAATTCATACATCTAAAATCTAATTAATAATCAAATGGTATTTAAATTAAAACCTTGAAGGTTGGTGTTAAATATATTTCCAAATGTAGCTAAACATAATTCACTAAATAAAAGCACTATTATTATTATTTACTTAAATCGGGTTTAATCCATAAATTAAACTACGCTTTTTATAATTTAGTAACAAAATCCTCATAAACTTAGTTATATTTCTTTAAAACCGCGATTTATTTGATGTAAAAATCCATTCTATTTTTTGCGGTAAATTTTGTTTTTTGCGGTATTTTTTCTCGTAGGGGAGCATCTGGGCGATTCCATGAGTGAATTTTTTTTTCTCAACTCAATTTTTTGTAAATATTTCCTTAATTAACTTCATTTAACGCCATATTTAAGATTTATTTTATTTATTATTATGGTATTTATGTATTTTAGTGCATAATCTTTTAGTTAAATCTGTCTGACAAAAGATATTTTAAAAAAACCAAACTTAATCGGTCAACTTTACAAAAAATTGATTTTTAAATTTTTATCAATATTTCTTTGAATATCCATTGTTGTGTTACAAATCTATGATAAACACACGTGAAATCGCTTGTGCTTTATAACAATATCTTATTTGTATGTCTTACTACTGTAATTAAGGAGAAAATTGGGGAAAACACCACTTAATCGGTCAACTTTCAACCGATTATTGCAAAACATATTACATATTTTTGTCAAAATGCAGCATAATTAATACGATTAAATGCTAATAACACATGAATTGATGAATAATAAGTCTTATTTAGTGAAAAGATATGTTGAAATATGTATATTTAAGCAGAAAAAGCTAAAAAAGTTTTTGAACAAAAAATTTTCAGTTCCATTTACCCATGGAATCGCCCATCTGAAAAATTGATGCTCCCCTGTTCAATTTAAATTTGAAAAATAAGTTAAAATGTATTGAAATTTTATTCTTTCAAATTAATGATTTTATGCTTATCTAAATGACTCAGTATTAATATCTTTTAATAAAGAGACACCAGAGATTATAAAAAAATTATTTGCAGTTAAAATATATTAAGAATTAATGAAATTTTGACTACCGCAAAAAACAAAAAAAAAAATTACCGCAAAAAACAAAAAATTTACCGCAAAAAATAAAATGGACAAAAAAATAAGTTTTTTGAAGAAACTATAAAAATATATGAATAAAGTTTTATCTGCATTTATAAAACTCATCTTTCTTGTTATTTTGCTCTATATTTCATCGAAAAGGAGTGTATCAGTAAAAAGTTATGAGCATTTAAAGTTGGCGAGAACAAGAATACCGCAAAAAATAGATTTTTTACCCTAAGCATTTTTGTGGTTCCAAAGTGTTAAAATATTGTATTGTCACCGAGAATAAGTGTGCATAAAAAATTTGAGCTCGATTGGAGCAGTAGAAGTGATCGAAATAACGATTACAAGATTTGACGCTCCATAACAGAGTGAGTTAAATAAAAGCGTGTAAAAAAAATGTACATTCGTAAAAATGGTTTTCGTTATTTTGCTTTTCGGGAAAATTAGCATTAAAATAAGGGAAAGGAACTTACTTGTAGCACTTATCGACCTTGTTAACGAAAATTATACATTTTCCTTTAATTAAGAATAACTTGAATAATGTAAACAGGATGGCTGCTTTCTCCTGCTCTTCCGCTAAGATGTGATAATGTGTCAATTGAGTTATTGGTGGTAGTTCCGGTTCCTCTAGTTTCAAAGTCACAGCATTATGAAGAACAATTTTCTTTAGATCCATAACTTCATCACTAAGCGTAGCTGATACAAGAGCTGATTGATAAGTGTTTGGAAGATAATTTTCTAATATATCTTTCAATTCATCCTTAAATCCAAGCGAAAAGAGCAAGTCAGCTTCATCAAGCACAAACATTTCAAGTGATTCCTTCACGTTTATATTCTTTTGCTTCATATGACTTAATATTCTAGCTGGTGTTGCTATTATAATGTCTGGATTTTGTGATAAAATGTGTTTCTGAGCTGCTGTTTGTGTTTTGGCTGTAAGATTCACAAACTTTATGATCTTGCTGCATTTTATAGTCAAATCTGTCAAAACTTTGTTTGTTTGATGACAAAGAAGTTTGCTAGGTGATAAAATGATAGCACTGGTTCTTTGTTCGGTTAATGAACTTTTTGAATTGAGGATCTTCTGGATGATTGGAATTAAAACAGCTGCAGTTTTGCCAGATCCAGTTCGTGCTGAAATTTTTTCATAAAGTTAGCTAATTTCTTGGTATTTTATGAAGGATAATCTTTATTTACCTTGAATTAAGACATCTTTTTTGTCTAATATGAGTGGAATAGCTTTCTCTTGGATTAATGTTGGTGAAATCCATCCTAACTTTGCGATTGCCTGTAATCATGATTTTTATGCATTATTCCCAGATATATTCATTATTTTTCACTTTCCACTTGTTTATTAACTTTATTTAAGTAATTCCTACCTTTAATATTCGGTCATCAAGCTCCATTTGATGAAAATTTAATGAATTATCTTTTTTCTCCATGCTGATCACGTTTATTTGTTTACCAAAAAAAAAAATGCGTACGTAAATTACTGCAAGGGCTAGCAAAAAAAAAATACGTACGTAAAAAGGAAACGTTAAAAGAGATTGCGATTTCAGCAAAAACATTAAATTAAAATTTAACAAGAAAATACAATAAGAACCTTAATTAAGATTAGTGGAAAGACATTAGTAGTGCTGTTTAAATATAATTAACTAGAAAAGAAGTAGAAATCACATAAAATGGCTGCAGAAATTGAAGGTTTTTTCAAAAATGATTTGCGAGATAAAATTGCATCGTCAAAACTGCTTGTTGTTGGTGCCGGTGGAATAGGTTGTGAAATCTTAAAGAATCTCGTCATGTCTGGCTTCAAAGACATCGAAATTGCAAGTTATAAATGAAGTTTTATTTCAATTTAAAGTTTTAACCTTTTTCTTCTTATTCCAGATTGATTTGGACACAATTGATGTTTCCAACTTAAATAGACAGTTCCTGTTCCACAAAGAACATGTTGGAAAGGCTAAAGCTGTAGTTGCTCGTGAAACAGCATTAAAGTTCAACCCAAATGTGGAAATTAAAGCATATCATGATAGTATTTTCAGTACTGATTATGGAGTTAGCTTCTTCCAACGCTTCACAATGGTCCTAAATGCTCTTGACAATCGTGCAGCACGTAATCATGTTAATCGTATGTGCTTAAATGCTAAAATTCCATTGATTGAAAGTGGTACTGCTGGATATAATGGACAAGTTGAATTAATTGAGCGAGGAGTTTCACAATGTTACGAATGTATGCCAAAAGCAGCTCAAAAAGTTTTTCCAGGCTGTACAATCCGTAATACACCGTCGGAACCAATTCATTGTATAGTTTGGGCAAAACATCTCTTTAATCAACTATTTGGTGAGGATAATGCTGATGAAGACGTTTCGCCAGATACAGCCGATCCAGAAGCATCAGGTGATGCTGGAAAAGAAGCTTTGGACAGTGAATCTAATGAAAAAGGAAATGTTGAACGAACGAGCACAAAACAATGGGCAAAGAATTGTGATTTTATGCCTGAAAAGCTATTCAACAAGTTCTTTAATGATGACATAAATTATTTGTTGAGCATGTCGAATTTATGGAAGACTCGTACGCCACCAAAACCGATGAAATTCGGTGAACATGATGAAATTATTGCTGAAATGAGCGATGTCGCATCATCAGCAGGTGTCGTGCGTGATCAGAAAGTATGGACTATAGCTGAATGTCAACAAGTTTTTGCTGAAAGTGTTAATAATCTCAAGGAACAGGTATTAAAGCTTAATGAGGATGACAATTTAGTTTGGGATAAAGATGATAAAGACGCTATGGATTTTGTAACATCCTGTGCTAATATTCGCTCAACAGTCTTTGCAATTCCACGTAAATCACGTTTTGACATTAAATCTATGGCTGGCAATATTATTCCTGCTATTGCTTCAACAAATGCTATTACTGCCGGTTTTGTTGTTCTTCATGCTTTCAAAGTATTGGAAAAGAAATTCGATCAATGTCAGAGCGTTTATGTTCGTGCTCAGCCTAATGCTCGTAATCAAATCTTCGTACCAGAAAAGTGTAAGTTCAAACTTGTTTCTAAAAGGTGCTAAAAGGTAGCTTAATAATACACTTAATTCGGCTGTTTGAGAGAAATATTTTAACCAGACATCGTAGAGAGCTCGCGTTTGTTTTATTAGCTCCGTTACTATCGATTTATTGGCCCATCGAATGGTTAAGTCTAAACCATGTATTTATGCTATAGTTAATGATGTAAAATTTGAATTTCAAAAAACCGTTAAATGATAAACCCTTTCTGTATGGAAATTCATTGTAACAAATTGTTAATTAAACTATAATTAATGATTTTCTAATCTTCTCATGATCTGTAATTGAACGCAAAATAATTAGATTATCAAATACTGATCGCTAACACAAAAATGAGCTTAAGTCCCTCGATCAATAACATGAGGACTTCTGTAATTTTTTAAAATCTTTATATGTCAAAACGCATTTTTCAACTGTTTTCATTTTAGTCATCACACCACCAAATCCAAATTGCTATGTCTGTGCTGCCAAACCTGAATTAATCCTGAAAATTGATACTGAAAAAATTACAGTAAAGGAATTGCGTGATGATATTTTGATTAAAGAAATGCATATGGTTAATCCAGATGTTATGTTAGATGGTAAAGGAATTATAATCATATCATCGGACGACGACGAGACAGAATGCAACGAAGCTAAATTACTTAAAGAGATGCACATTGTTGATGGATGTATTTTAAAGGTTGATGATTTCTTCCAAAATTATGAGCTAACGATAACAATTATTCACAAGACTGCTGAACGTGACGACCCCAAATTTGAGATTGTAGCTGATAAAGATGTCTTGAAGACAGCTGAAAGTGTCGAAGAAGTTAAGAAACAAAAGAAAGAAGAATCAACATCTCAACCACAGCCAGGACCTTCAAATGGTGCATCATCGTCCTCAAACGGCACTAAAGCTTATGAAAGTGACGAAGATGATTTAATTATTGTTGAACCACAGTCGCTGGTCGCTGAAAAGAGAAAGCATTCAGCAGGGGGTGAAGATGAATCGCCAGGTTGCAAACGAATTCGGATTGAACAGGAACCAACCGCATCATCATCAAAAGGATCGACTGCAATGTGCAGTATTGATGATGATGAAGATTTAATTTGCATTGATGATGATTAAATCAAGTTAAAATAAGCTAAGAAAAAAAAGAATCACAAAAACAAATTCCTTAAACTTCGTTAAGAAAGAGAAGAAAAATATTTCAAGAAACATTAATTAATTAATTACATTTAAGCTAATTTACATTTCTTATACGATGTGAGATCAAACTATAGATGTCAATAAAGATGAGTCCAAGAAGAAGATTTATAAGAAATTTTTGGGTCGTTTGATGTTTTTACTTTTTACTAGGCTAGTAAGTATTTTGTATCTTTAAGCTTGTTTAAACTTTAACGCATAACTTGTAAGTTATAGGTCTTTAATTTGGTTCTTTTCAACATTTTTCGCAGTTTTTCATAAATTTAAGCATTAATTTCTCCATTCAATGTGAACAAAATGTAAGAAATCTAAGTGCTGAAAAAAAATTGGCAGGACGGTGGGGCATTTTCTTCTTTTAAACCCATAAAAAAATCTTTTAGACATATCTAAAAGAATGTCTTCATTTATAATGAATAATATTAATAATCACCTTTCAAATGGTTTGACTCAGCGATTCTTTCTCATCCTTTTGCACCATACAATCTTTCACACAGGTTAACGATTAGCTAATGGAAGTTTTGGCAATGAAAACATCCTTTGCTGGTTCAGGTTTCTGATGATTCAGGTCAAAATTATGCTACATCATATCGTCAGTCATTGCAGGAAAGTTTACGTTTTCGACCATTTCGTACTTGCTGCTGCTATGATCTCTCAATTCTGTAAGGGATATCCATTATTCGCCTGTGAAAATGCTGGGTTAAAAGATTTTTAATATCTATTATGTCATGAACAAATGGAATGAACTTGTTGCTATTACCTTTGATGTAATGTGTTGTTCATTCGTCAATTGATATTTTCTATTTGATGCTGGTATTGTTAAAATTCCTGACATGGCAATGCAGAACTTGAAGATGCCTCTTGCTTAATTATTGTCTCAGCTGCTTCTATTTGCTCATATCTGAGATGTGTGAAATTCAGAGAATTAGTGACCTATAATACTATTGACTAAATGTCAATAAAATTTAAGAACTCTAAGTGCTGAAAAAAATTTGGGCAGGACGGTGTGGCATTTTCTCCTTTTATATCCATAAAAAATCTTTTAGACAAGTCTAAAAGATTTAACTTTAATTTATAATAAATAATAAAAATTTTACCTTTCATACCTTTTTCACCATACTCTTAAACACAGATTCAGGATCAGTACATATGGAAGAATTGGCAATGAATGCATTCGTTGCTGCTTCAGGTTATTGCTTGAGGTTCCTGCTAATCCAGGTCAAAATTATGCTATTCCATGTCGTCAAAGTTATTGGAGCAAAGTTTACATTTTCGACCATTTCGTACTTGCTGTTGCTATGATCCCTGATTTTTGTTTTGGATATCCATTATTCGTCGATGAAAATCTGGTTTGATAGATTTATTAAATTTATTATATCACGTTTATTGGACTATACTTGTTGATTTTACCTTTAATGTCATGTGTTGATCAATCGTTTATTGATGTTTTCTATTTGATGCAGGCGCTGTTAACATTCCTTATGAACATGGCGTTGCAGAACTTTGAAATGCTTCCTGATTAAATATTGTCTCAGCTGCTTCTAATTGCTCACATCTGCGAACTCCCTTATCCTGAAAATATGGAAAGATGTGTGAAATTTAAAGAATTAGTAATCTATAATACCATGTACAAAATGTCAATAAAATGCAAGCATTCTAAGTGACAAAAAAAAATTTGGGCAGGACTGTGGGGCATTTTCTCCTTTTTCAGTCGTGAAATATCTTTTAGGTATTTCTAAAAGATTTTTTTTTTTTTCATATTTCAATAATGATGACATTGTCATCCTTTATTGAAGAGACTAAATCATTTTACATTCCAATTTGCAATTATTAATATATACTTTTTTTTCTTTACGTTACTTTTCAAGGGAAAAAGCCCCCTTAAATAGTACTTAAACTATTTAAAAAGGCATAAAAAACCCTTGTCTTTGGAATTGATCTGACTTTTTTAATTATGTTTTAAATATTATGTAATAAGAGGAACATTAAACATAAAATAACAACAAAAAAAACAAAAAAAAAAAAAAGATGAAAATAACCACTGGTGTAAAGATGGTCGTTAAATATAATTTTAAATTAATTTGCTCAATCGGCTCAGTTATCAGTTAGAGTTTGAATTTAAAGTGTTAGTACGGCTGAACATAAACAATGAAAATTTTTAAATTTATTGTGGTGAGATAATTTGATTCCTCGACGAAATTTGCTGTTTGGACGATAGTGAAGCATTATTTGACAACAGGAACTGCTTTAAGCGAATTTTGAAGACATCTGCTGACTTGATTCCTCGAATTTCATTTGGAAGGCAATTAAATAAGGAAGGTCCAATCGTTTCGATGTCATTTCGTTTTGTTGATAATTTATAATTATTTATTTTCAGAAGAAGCTGTCTCGATGATCTCAGCCTTTGCACTTGAAATAACGACTCATCATTGCTGCTATTAAGTGATTTATGCACCATTGTGCAAACCACATAAAATATTATTCCCATTAATGGCAATACATTCGGTGCATGAATTGTGAAGAGTTCTTGGGTGGGAGTTGTGAATGGTAATCCAAAAATCATTTTGATAATTTTGTTTTGCTGGATTTGAAGTTGATTTAGATCATAAGTTGAAAATCTTAACAGCAAGAATGTTCCATACATTAAATTCGATTGAAAGTTGCTGAAGTAAAACTTCATTAAAGATCCGGTCATTAATTTCCTGCGTAAAACGCTTACAGCGCCAATTGTTTGATTCAGCTTGCTTCGGATTGTATTTGAAAAACTTTCAAAACTCAGCCTATTATCGATTTGGATTCCCAGATATTTTATTTCATCGGAAATGACTATTCCGCTAGCTTCGATTGTGTTACTAATTTGCTCTGATGATTCATTGCCGAAAATAACTGCCTGTGATTTGTTCATATTTATTTGCAGGCAATTTTCTTCAAAGTATTTATTCAAAGTTATTAAATCTTCCGATATCATTTCAGATGGATTCATGCTGCTGACCGTTTCATCGATTTCCAACACCAGAATAATATCATCGGCAAATTTAAACATTTTTGAATGTGTGGAGATATACTGGATGTCTGCGATGTACACCGAGAAGAATTTGGGTCCTAATATCGATCCCTGAGTGATTCCTTTATTGATTGATCCTGAACGGCTAAACGAGTTACCAACTTTGACCACTTGATGCCTATCCGATAAATAGCTTTTGGTAAGTTGAATAGCTTTGACTCCTATTCCCATTTTTCGCATTTTTGCTATTAAGATTTCATGATTTACTGTATCGAAGGCTTTTGACAAATCTATTGAAATGAGAACTGTTGTCTTTCTTTCATCTAGTGAGCTTGATATCATGGATATAACTTTAGCTAGAACATCCTGACATCCTTTCCCTTTTACAAATCCATATTGATATCTATCCGTAAGTTGATTGCTTGTTAAGTATTCCTCCAGCTGATCGTTCATTTCTCTCTCAATGATTTTATTCAGTGAATTTTGTACAGATACTGGTCGATAATTTGAGACTAACATCTTTGAACCAGCTTTGTGAATGGGGTGAACAACACTATTTTTTAGTATTTGAGGATACACACCTTTGTCAATAACTGCATTGAATAGGATTGCTATTGGTTTCGCTCCTTCATTTCGCAATTCGTTCCATATAAATGGTGAAATATTATCCAGTCCTGTTGCTTTTCCAATGTCAATCGAACTCATTATTAGCTTTATTTTTTCCTCGCATACTTCTGAGAATTCAAACTGATAATTTCCTGTAGCATGTGGAGATTCGTTATCAGTTATCTGATTTTGGGGCTCAATTCCAACTATTGACATGAAGTACTCTTGAAATATGTTAGCAACTTGCTCGGGATTAGAAATTCTAGAATTGTTCACTTCAAGAATAATTGCGTTCCTTTTTCTGTCTCTACCGGTGAGTTCATTAAGTACTTTCCACGTTTCTTTATTACTGAGTAATGTTCTATCATTATAGTACCAGCGTATTCTTTTTGCTGCATATTCCTCCTTTTCTTTGATTTTACCCATCATTCTTGTCTCAAGTTGAGATGTCGGCAGTTTGTTCGATCTTAGTTTCTTAATTCTATTTTGCAAGTTAAAGATTTCATTCGATAATTGGATATAATACACATTTGCCCATGGTGGTACAGCATCAATGTTTTCATACGATTTCATAGTAAATGTACGTGTATTATTATTTAAATTGTGATATATAATATCAATAATTACCTTTTAAACGGTTTGACTCAGCGATTCCTTCTCATCCTTTTGCACCATACTCTTGCACATTGATTGAACATCATCTCATGGAAGTAATGGAAATAAACACACTCGTTCCTGCTAATCAAGGTTAAAATTATACTATAACGTCCTCAAAATCATTGGAGAAAAATTTACGTTTTCAATTTTTTGAACTTGTTGCTGCGATGATCCCTCATTTTTGTAATGGATCCACATTGCTCATCTGATGCTAACATAAAACTTCATATTTTATCATTAGAAAGTTTATCCAGCATTTTGAAATTTGTTGGTGTTGCTATGTACCACTCATATAGTAAGTTCTGGCCAGCTACTGCATTAATTTCTGATTGTCGAGTTGGATTAGGTCGCTGTTATTGTTGGGGGCATTTGTTGTTAATTTATTCCAAGTGTTCCTCAATTTCTTCCAGTAGGTAAACATTTCTAGATGGATAATCTGCTTCTAAGTCACTTGATGTTTCTTGTTTGATAATATAATAACTTCTTTTTCTTTTGTCAAAGTCTTCGTTCTCTGAGGGAAAATATGTAATTGGAAAAGATTAATTTTGATATCTGCTTTCTTGTTATACTGCTACATTGTCCTTAATAGAGTTGAAATTCCTTTTTTGTACTCAAAATAATCTAAATCACAGTGTAATAATGATTGTGGCTAGCTTTCTATCACAATTCTCAATCATTAAATTCTTCTGTTGGAGTCCTTTCGATAATCTGCTGCTTTTGCTTCTTCTCATGTAGTTTCGAACGGTAAAACAGTTTTTGTATCTTGTTTGAAGGAATTTGATTCATTTGATTTATATTGCTGCTGTCTTGAATTCATAGCTGTGAAACGTTAAATATGTTGTATTATATTC